GGTAGGGAGAAGTGCATACGGAAGGGGGGGTGATGTTCATGGGTTGTTAAGAGAAGAGCTGACGGCCCCTTCTCCCCTCTATCTTCTACGAGCCCCCATGGTCAGGGGAGTTGGGTTTGGTGAGGGAACTGACCTTGCTATCCAAGGAACTGGAGGAGAAAAGTTGACAGGGACGACCACACCCCTTGGTCAGGTGCCTTGAGCCACAAGCCTGGCAGGTGATGATGGTGGGAATCAGGTGGGGGAAATGAGATTTAAAGAAAAGGTAACGTTTGAGTTTTAAACTGGATTGATTTTTAATAGCTGAAAAAGACCTAAAAGTCAGAAAAACTGGGCAATATGTGAAGGGACATGAAGGGCAAATTTGCCGTAAAAACATGGTTCTTAGGTGAAATTGGTGAAGGGGATTAAGAGGTATAAACTTCCAGTTATAAAATAAGTTATGGGGATGTCATGTACAACATAGGAACTATATATATGTTATAGTCAGTAATATTGTAATAACCGTATGGTGACTAGACTTATTGGGGTGATCATTTCACAGTGTATAAAAATATCAAATCACTATAATGTATACCTGAAACTAATGGGATATTATATGTCACTTATACATTAAAAAATACATGGTTCAAAGTAGTGATTGGAGAAAAATAAACTGCTTCATATTTATACCCCCCAGAATTGAGCCTGCTCCAGCTAATCCTTGTAAAATCCTTACCATGGGCCAGGTACTCTGCTAAGCATTTCACAAATAGTCACTCACATAGACCTATCAGGTGAGAACTATTATTATTATTATTTAAAAGATTTTATTTATTTATTTGACAGAGAGAGAAAGCACATGTAGGCAGAGCGGCAGGCAGACGGAGAGGGAAAAGCAGGCTCTCCGCTGAGCAGAGAGCCTGATGTGGGGCTCGATCCCAGGACCCTGGGATCATGACCTGAGCTGAAAGCAGACGCTCAACCGACTGAGCCACCCAGGCACCCCATGGTGAGAACTATTATTATCACCATCTTCCCGTTTTATAGAGGAAGAAACTGAGGCACAGAGAAGTTGAACAATTTGCCCAAGGACATAACTAGACCTGGCACTTAAATGCGGGCAATCTGGCTCCCAGGCCTATGGTTTTAGCCACTAAACTACACCGCCTGGCCAACCATCCACTTTCATATGGTATTTTATTCTGGTGTGGTTTTCCCTCTTGGGTCTTTTGAGGCTGACATTTCTGTTCTTTCCACACTGTTTGTGGTTAAACTTAGTGCCTGGAGGATAGGGATAGAGGTTTTAATAGTTTAAAATGAGGTACTGGACTCGCATTTCTAAAATGACATTTTCCCAAATGGCATGAACTTTAAATGAAAACATGTAAGATCTGACAGTCTGATTTAAGTTCTGAGCAGGGCCGAGGAATAACTAATGCTCACCTCTTCCTACAAACACTACAAATTTACACACTGGGGTACCTGGGTGGCTCAGTCAGTTAAGCGTCTGCCTTCAGCTTGGGTCATGATCCTGGGGTCCTGGGATCAAGTCCCACATCGGGCTCCCTGCTCAGTGGGGAGCCTGCTTCTCCCTCTCCCACTCTCCCTGTTTATGTGCTCTCTCTCTTTCTCCCTCTGTCAAAATAAGTAAATAAAATCTTTAAAAAAAGTTATACATTGATTTGATTCTTAAGCTTTTCTCCTAGATCTTGATTGCATTATGAGGTCTAAGCCCAATGGGCATTTCATATATGCTTCGTATCACCCCCTCCCCCGCCGGGAACGCAGTCCCTCACCAACAGAAGTTGCAGCCCGGTTTCCCACGTTTGGGGAAATCACTGGGGTCAGAATGAGTGCAGTGGATGAGACTCACCTTAAGAGAACCACCCTCGTGATCATGGTATCTTCCTTGCCAGGTAAATATCATCATAAATGCTTTTTGACAATGATTTGAAGGCTTATTTAGTCTTCCAGACCTGTCCAACATGTATCCAGGATAAAAATGTCTTTTGTCTTCATGGCCACTCATTCATTTATTATTGAGACCCATAATGAGTAGCACACATGGGCTCTGTAGTGGGATACTTTTGAGGCATCTAACAGAAACTTTGATGTAAACTGTCTTAAATGCAAGGCAAAGGCAGAATTTGTTTAATTAAGCAACTCGGTGTTGTCATCAAGAACCCAGGTTTCTTGTTTGTTTCTTTTTTCTATTTTTCAGCTCTGCCTTATGTAGTGTACAGACTTTGACCAAAGTTTGATTTTCCTCTAATCACAAAATGGCTGCCAGAAGCAACTCAGGTACTCGGCTTCCTTGTTCATCAAGCAGGGTAGAAGGGAAAACCTTTCCCTCAAATCATAGGATGTTAAGTCCTTTCCTTTAGTCTAATTGGGCCTTCGTCATTGATTAAGACTAATAAGCACCCACTGCTAAGACTAATAAGCACCCACACTAATAAGTGTGGATACCTGAACACAGTTGGGGTTTTATTAGAAGGAGGATGGAATAAATCGATGCTGGAGAACCTCTGAAGCTATTGCTTCATCTGGAAAAAGGTGACCTAACAGAAGATATTTCAGAGAATCATGAGCCTCAGAGATAATATATGTAGGGTTGCCAGATTTAGCCAATAAAAATACAGGATTCCCAGTTAAATTTGAATTTCAGATAAAAAGCAAAAAATTTTTTAGTATAAGTATATGCACCTCTTTCTACAAACACTACACAGGGACACATTGATTTGGTCCTTTTTTGTTTTTTCACACTGATTTGGTTCTTAAGCTTTTCTCCCAGACCCTGATTTCATTATGAGGTCTGGGCCCAGAGGGGCAATTTCAAAAATGCTTTTTTGGACAATGATTAGAAAGCTTATTTAGTCTTCTACCCTTGTCCCACATGTATCCAGGATAAAAATATATACTTACACTAAAAAATTACTTGCTGCTTATCTGAAATTCAAATTTAACAGGCCTCCTGTATTTTATCTGGCAGCTCTAAATGTATGTAAAATTCTTGGCACATAGCAGGCATTCATTCAGTGGTTAAGTATTAGTGTTCTTTCTACATAAGAAGAGAGCTCAGTTAAATGGCAGCGTGGTACTTTTTAACTCTTACTGACCTAGAAAATATATGCTTTTGATCAATATTGCAATTAACGGAACTGGATGTGGTTCTAAGAAACCCTTCACCAACTCCTCAAAACCAGATCGAAGTAAATGTCCCTAAGTGGAAGGTCATAGTTATATATATGGGGTGGCACATTATAAAACATCTAAAATTACTACTTAAAACGAAATTGGACCTATGTCAATGAATATTCAGTTATTGGTTTTTCTCAGTCTCTGCAGATAAACCATTCTTCATTTGATTCAGAAGTAATGCTGCTGCAATTCCTGGCACGAAGGTGCTAACACACAGGGATGAAAATGCATGATTGGCCCAGGAATTCTGGCTCCACGTGGGTGAAGCTCTAGGTCACAGCACTGTTACTTTGCATCTGGAGGAGGCAGGAGACTCTGCAAAGATCTGCTGTTGGCTCTGACTCCATTTTCCCTCACTGCTAATTCACTGTTCCTACCTGAAAAATTTTCTAATATGTTTCCTGAAAAGCTGAAGGGAAAGCAGGCACCTTCATTTCCTCATCAAATATTCACCAGGCTATGAAAAAGAAAACCCTAGTGGCTTGGTACCAAGTGGCCAAACCTGGCATGTTGTTACATATTGTTACCAGCTTCAGGACAGGAATAGATTAAGTGGATTTAATTCAAGATATCTATTTCCCATTACTGTACAGTACTGCTTATTTCTCATTTGGTGGCTGCTATGACCTCATAGACTGCTTTTCTGTGCTTTTCCTAAACCAGAAAAGAAACCCCATTTTTCCTCTTTGCTTTAAGTGGAAATTATTATGCAGCTTTGCATAGATTTGTCCACAAAGCCTTTAAACAAGATTATTATTTTTCTGAATTTTCAAAAAGTGGCATTGGAAATGTATCTCCTTCCATTTCATCACCTCATCATCCTCATTGGAAACCTGATCCTTGGTAGGTATTAAGATCTTTACATTTCTACTGGTCGGGGAGATGACTTCACTGCCAGCTGGGGAATCTTGTGTGGCGGAGCATTGGACTTAAGCAGAGCTGTGGGCTGATGCCTCTGCTGCAACAGCCTTTTGCATGCATCCAGCTGCTGTGTAAGGAATCCTCAGGCTACTAGTTCCTTGCTCCTAATTCACCCAAGGGATCGCAGGCTGCTGGATGAGTGTATGTGTGAATGTGTGTACATGTGCGTGTGTGTGTGCACGCACAGCTGCAACAGTTGGGCAGCAGCTGCAATGAACTTCGATATCATTTTTACCAAAGACAGAGATAAACCGTCCTCCATCCTTTATTTCCAAGTAGTGCCTCGGCTCCCGCCCCAAATGTGTTCTCCCCGCTCTTCCACGACACCCCCCCGACCCCCCGCACGTGTCCCTCTGGAGGGAGGCCAGGATAGCTGCGCCGCAGGCAGGATTCCCCTTTTTTTTCCGCAGTGACAGGCGGATTCCCGGGCCTCTTCGGCCCTGCACCCCCGCAGCCGCCCCTTTCTTAGTCACGATCTTCCCCGCCCATCCCCCCCTTCCCCTACACTCCTCCTCCTAACCCCCTCCGCCCCCCACCGCTCACGGCTCGGACCCCGCCCCTCCCAGCCACCCGGCCCAGGTTGCTAGGGCCTGGCTGGGCAACCAAACCTGGCCCGCGAGGAGATGCGGCGCGCGCGCGCGCAGGCGAGCTTATACAAGAAACCAGCCTTCTTAGGCTTCTGGGGCCCGCGCACGAGCGGCGCGGGCGGGGCGCGCGGGCCCGAGCTCGAGGACGAGCGCTCTTTCCGCATTGGTCTCTATCAGAAGTGGGCGGGGCGGAGGCGGGACCCGCCGGGGTCTTCGAAGCTTCTTTATTGGTCCGAACGGGACGGCCGGGGAGGGCCAGTTAGCAAATTAGGCTGCGCCTTCGCCTCTGCGAGAGGGCGGGGCCGGAGGTTTCCATTAGTTGTCCCTGCCACTGGGAAAGGTAAATCGGCGACGGCGGCCTCAGGAGCTGTGGGGTCCCCGGCTGGAGGTGGGGGACTCGGCTGGGTGAGTAGATGAGCCGCCACCCGCCCGTCAGGCCTTCCTGTCCCCACGTCGGTTTCGCGCCACCCAGCTTCTCCTGAGACAGGGGACCCACCCGGTCCCCCCGGGCAGACGTGAGAAGGGGCGGCGGCGCAGGTCCCCCCAGAGCAGGGCGACGCGGCGAGGGTGCCCCAGCCTGGAGTGGCCCCTCCTCAGCGCCCCATTGCGCCACTGGAAGGGCTTCCCCGGCGAGAGGTTGGGGCTGTATTTTGGGGCGTTGGGAGACGGGAGGATGTGAGGAGTGGCGGCGGGTCGAGGCAGCCCGGTGGGGCTCCCCTCAGCAGCGGGTCTGCGGCGTCCCCGCCCCGCCGCCCCCGCGGCGCGAGCTCCCCCGGGCTTGCGGCGAGGGAAGCCCCTTCCCGCCGGCGCCGAGGAGGAGCCTGTGCGCGGGAGCCCCTAGCCCGAGTTCCGAGGGAGTCCGGGACCCGCCGGGGGCTGCGAGCCGGCGCCGGAGCCCCGGCCCTGCTGACTGACCTTGGCTGCCCGCGAGGGTGGGCGAAAGACCCACCGCCTAACCCGCATCTCTTCCAGCCTCCTCCCAACAAGTTTTCAGGCGTTGCTATGAAGTTCACGACTGGCATAGTGGGGAGAAGCAGAAATTGGCCCCTTCCCAGACCTTCGTACCCTTTGGACCCTCATAGAAATTAAATCCTGGGGTTTGGAACCATTTCCAAACGAACAGGTCCTGCTCGCATTGACACGTTTTATTCCCACGTTGGCGGGGGAAAAATAACCTGAACGTATTTCTGTGTAAGGGCAGATCTTGAGGGTTTTTTTTTTTTTTCCTTTTCTTCTCTTCACTTGAGTGTTAAAGCACTGATGCCTGAATAAGAAAAGCCTGACCTTAGTATCTCCACAGTGAGATTAGACGGATGCTGTGATATTTAAGTAGTTGCAGATCAGTGTTCTGTTAACACAATCTATTTTAACTGGCTGAAATTTAGGCTGATTTTAGAAAGTATTGCAGACACAGAATAATTTCCTCCCGTGAATCTGAATTAGGTTTGTTTGGACGTAATGGTCATGTAGTTAATGTAAGAGATTACACAAATTAATGTCTGACAGCATTTGACTGAAACGGGAGACATAAATATGTATAGAATAGGATTATCGTTTTAGGTAGCATTTCCAGCTTGCTCCTTTCTTGCTGTTGGGTTATAAAGAAGGCATCTTTACGGAGGCTATTCAGAATTATATGTGAATGACATTTAGATGTAAATTTGTTTTTAATTTAAGTGTTTTAAAGTATTTTATTCGTAAAATGTGAAGAACCTATGTTTACTTGTGTGTTTAGTGTTGAAGGGGGGGAGTATAATCTTATATTTAGCAACCCAATGAGGGTTCACTAATAATACATTTTTTAAAAAGGTGTGCCTCTTTTTGAGAACATGGTACTTGAATACCTCAGCAATTCTTTTAATTTCTTTATTAAAAGTACTAGTTTAGGTTTGAGCATTTTTGGCGTTCACACTGGAACAGGAGTAAGGAAGCCTGCAGCAGTATTACCAGTTTGACACCACCAGTGGGTGTTTCTGTTGACAAATGCGGAGAAGAGAACATTTGGGAAGGAAATCTTTTTTTCGGGGTGGGGGGGGGTAGAGGGGGTTGGGTGAGGGGGGGACGGAGCCAGAAGATAGAAGCTGCAGAACTAAAGCTGCCAGCACAGTGTATGCTGAGCATTTCACAAGTACAAGGAAACCTAATTAGGATGAAAAAAAAAAAAACCAGTTTGGCTGTATTAAATAATAGAATTCCAAAAGAGGCATGCTAAATAAAGTTAATCATACCAAGAGTGTTAAATAATCTACCATTTCAGAAGAGTTTGGAGGGTCTTGAACTGGAGTGCCAAATCTTTTTAAATTGTCTTGCCGTTTAAACATAATGCAGTGATTAATTTGATGTATGTGTGTATATATATATATGTCTTGTATTCTAGTTTTGCTGATTTTTCCTAAGACTAATTTTTTTGAAAACAAAACTTGATATATTAAAAAACATTAGAAATACACATTCTCTCTTCAGAGAGGATTTCTTTTTTCCTGGTCAGATTTATAATTTAGTCATGATTTAGGGACTTGTGGAAGGGTTTTTTTACCCCTTATCTCAGGTTTTTGATTTTTACTTAGGCAAGTTCCCTGGACTAAATCTGCCATTATTTTCATTGTAATTTTCTTGCAGTCATCTTGCAGTCATTTAAATCAGAGTGTGGTATCTACAGTATTCCCCGGGGTTTTAGAAGAAAAGGCTCCCATTGAGGGAAATTGCAGGGCCATCTCGCATAGATGAGTAATAGAAGGTTGACTGCGAATCAGTTGTATTCTGTTCCAAATATGCTGCATGGGGTTAAGGCAGTCATTTAATGAGAACCAGATTTTACATGGTATTTCTACTTTGAAGGTGCAGTATTGTTCCATTACAAATTAAAATACAGAGGTGGAGAAATTCCTTCAAGTATGCCTTTTCCCCCCCAGCCTTGCTTCACTACTGTGTCCAAGAATCTGTGAGAGACTCTTTCAACAATAGTTGCATTGTTAGAAATGACAGTGGCTTCTGTGCAGAAACTAACCTTTCACTATGATTTGTGTTTCAGTTTACTTTGTGATAGAAAATTCAGCTATATCTAAGAATATGGCTGTAGAAAATTTGTAAGGAAGTGAACCAAGAAAATAAACCTCTTCAGCATGTCTGTTAAAAGTTCACCTTTTTTTCCCTTCCATTTTGATAACTTTGGTAGTTACCTCTTTTATTTCTTCTAGGTTTTAGAAGGTATGTTAGCATAGTACTTTATTTTTGGCAGTAAATGTGGGGATAAGACTTTTTCATGTGATAAATTGATACCAAATAATAAGGCATTTAGAAGAAACCACCCACATACACAGACCCAAAATGTGAGGGAAGTCTTATTTAGATAACCCTTAACTTTGGTACGAGAATAGCAAAATTTTAAGTATTAAGTTGCTTTCTATGTAGTAGTAAAAGGCTGTTTACTCAGAATTTGATAGTTTTAGATTCCAAAGGTTGTTTTGTTTGTAACATCAAATTCCTTGGTAGAGGAGGAGATAGAATCTCAAAGCTTCTTTATCATCTGATGTTGTCAATTGGGTCACGTATTTCAACTTACGAAAACACTGCAATTAAAAGACTAAATTTAAACTTTGTTTGGGAAGGTTTTCCAGTTTACTTTCAATCTTAAACTCAACATTAGAAATCTTTTGTTGACAATGCATCACTTTTGTGTTTGGATTTAAATTCTTGATAGTTTCTAGAATGTTTCCTTCATATAGAGCAGCGCATGGATGACTAGATTACTCAAAGGTTTGGCCTCATTTCTCATTCAAGTTTGTACATTTACTTCATAATGCTGAGATAGGAAGTTGGGTGCAATTCTGTCAGTGGGTATGAAAGCTGAGTGAGGACTTTCTACCTAAGGAGCCTGATAACGTTTAGACAATTAAGATTTGGGAATTAACAGAAAATTACTTACTAGGTTAAAAGGGATCTACCCCATTCAGGTCTTTGAAATTGTCAACATTTTGAATTAAGCTCTCAGAAACATTTGTGTTGGAGACAGTTCTAATTAAGGTCATGTTTTGGGAGTGGTCTCTCTTTTGGGTAGTCTTTATAACGTACTATTTATTGAGCCTTACTGAAGACCAGATACTATAATAAATAATTCATTTGTTTGGATAGCTGTGTGTATGTGTGTTCTCACAACACTTGTGTGAGGTAGATGTTTTCCTTATTTTCCTATACACTTGATCAGATGGGCTTCGAGAGAGAAAATAATTTGCTCAGATTACCCAGCTAGGCTGTAGCAGAGGCAAAACTTTCATCCAAACCGGTCTGACTTGAACCTGTGTTCTTCAAAACCATGCTCTCTGCTTCTCTTTAGGAATCTGTTTACCCAAACATATTTTGAGGTCCTACTGTAAAGTCACTCCTGGGGTGGGACTAGAGGTCTAGATATGCCTCCTGGAGTTCACAGGCTACATTGGTAAGGCCGCCTGACCTTTAGTCACATGGGAGGCTGGACTCAGATCCATCAGCACTTACGGATAGGACAACTGGAAGTGCAGACTTTTTTAACAGAGGGTCATTAGTTCTGTTTCTTCATAAATGAAGGTTGTACATAATTATTTACATCCAAAATGAGGTAGCTGTTTCTAATTAACTACTTGGTATTTCATGTTTCTGCATGTTCCACTGTAACTTTTGACTGACTTTGATTAAATTTGCTACACTAATAAAGGTGATGAAGATATTCCTTGAATTCAATTTTGTGGTTTAGATGCACTCTAAATGGCAGCCATTACAATTTGCAGATGGGTATCTCTTCTGTAATTGTTCTGACTTAAGTGAAATAAAAATAAAACCTGGAGGTAAATGAAGTTTACAGAGGTATGTTATTGTTGCTTCTTAATACATAGAAGTTGGGGGGCACCTGGGTGGCTCAGTCGTTAAGTGTCTGCCTTCGGCTCAGGTCATGATCCCAGGGTCCTGGGATGGAGCCTGCATCGGGCTCCCTGCTCCATGGGGAGCCTGCTTCTCCCTCTCCCAGTCCCCCTGCTTGTGTTCCCTCTCTCGCTGTCTTTCTCTCTGTTAAATAAATAAATAAAATCTTAAAAAATATATATATATAGATATAGAAGTTGGACTCTGACAAAAATATTTCTACTTGAAAGTAGAATTTTCTGCTACTTGAAGCCTCTTGTGATTGTGTGTGTGTGTGTTTTAAAACAAGACCCATCATTAAGAGAGCTAAACAGTTGCTTAGCCCAAAGGAATGCTCAGAGATCCATGTTAGGGAGGAAAAGGACTTAATGTTTTATTCTATAATTGATGAGAATCACTTTTGTCATTTATTAAAGTTAGAAACCAGTGATGAATATTGTAGAACCTCAGGACTGGAAATCATCTTGGATAGAGCAGGACAGTTGTTCTATGATGATGGGACCTACACCTAA